ATTCTGCCTTATTTTTTCCACTAGCGTTTTCAGCTCTCCCCCCTCACCAGGGAGCGGGGATAAAAATTTAGTAGCCGAAATACTTAGTATATGGTTCACAACATGCATGTAGTATAAGAAGCATAGTATATGGTTCACAACATGCATGTAGTATAAGAAGCATGTACTTCGTTTTTAATCGTTCAGTAATATAGCATAACTTGGGAAAAAAAAGTTTAAATAAAATTCTGGACGGAATGGCGAAATTCCCATTATTAGCCACGTTATCTAGCTTATTATACAGCTAAAATGCAGTATGTGCAAAACATAGAAATTACTTTGGCTGGAAATATGTAACAAATCTTAAATTGGACAGCGGGATCAAAAATAATCATTCTCCTTCGTACTTCTTCCTTTAGTAAGCATTTCTGATGGAAAAGGAAGAAGTACCGACAAGATGACCGCATCTTTTCTTGTTCAGAGACATCAGGGCACCAATGGTTGACAACATGATTTCTCTAATATCTCAGTTTTGATTAAGCCAATCCCGTAGGGCAATTCTTGAATATAATTTTTGCTCATTCTTTGCTACCATTACTCAGCAGACTTTTTAAGATTTTACTTATTCCTGCCTAGTGCCGCTTGAAGATTAATCCAAATGTTCCACCACCAGTATCCAAACAACACTCCCTTGTCTTCGTAAAAAAAAGTTGATAACAAACGTTCAAACCTAACCTGGGATTTTTTTTCTCTCTTCGTCTGTACAGAACGAATCTTGTTTGTTTCGTGCCACTATGGATTAAAAATATGAATGTTTTTGAGGTCATCTACAGGACGTCCGGGAAAGAAATGGTGTAAAAGAATAACACATATATCCGAAATCAATGTGTTTAATGCATTGTGGTTTACATAGCTGAAAAAAAGAATTCAGTAAGCTCTGTTCACCGGAAAGACTGGCACGAAAATAACTTGATTTCTCCCTGTGAAGATTTAACTGCTTTTAATTTTTTTTCTGTGGTGTTCCCGGACCTGACACAGCCCGAGTTACACACAGCCCCTTAGACACAGCCCGAGTTACTAATGGCGCTCATATCACAGTGGTGTACTAAAACTTTTTGAGTAATTATTTCCAGCTATGTAAACCACAATGTAATAAACATATTCATTTTAGATATATGTGTTGTTCAGCATTTCTTTCCCGGTTATTTGAGTTTTCTTGAATTTATTTCTACAAAATAAAAAAAAAAAAGGAATTTTAAAATATAGATAGCTTTTTCTAAAAATTCATAAATAAGAGTAATTTAAAGTACAAAATGCAATAAGGAATATGAAAGTAGCTATTAAGTTATTCAATATACTGGCTCCAACAATATGCATTCGATGGTGGTAGGATTAAATCTGACAACAAACTTAATGGATACTTTCCTCCATATAGTGCTAAAGTAGTAGAAATCGAAACCTTTAAGGGTCAAACGTAAAAGACCATTTGATCCTAAGAGAGAGTTCATGCAGCGTAAAATCTTAAGCCAGATTGTAGGAGCTAAGTAATATTCCATCGGCGACGCATCGAGTACTCTGGAAGCTGGCGATTAATCTCCATGCTGAATGACTTTATGAATGAATGATTCGCCTATTCTTCTTACGGGAGAAGGGGGGGAATACAGGACAGTTTTGAAGAGATTTTAAAAGGACGATTACGTCAATCGTAAACTCTGTAATTTCGAGGACAAGTTAACTAACACGAATTCTCCTTTCTTTGTCTAACTGAAAGTTGCGCTAATCTGGTTATTGCGCTTCTCAGCAGATCCTTTGCTAAAAAAATGTGGCATCAATTGCACAAAAACAATTCAAATATTTGCAAATAAGCATCAAAAGGAACAGTGCAGCACGTATTACAGTATTTACATATTTAAGAATACATGTAATTTTATGCACTGACAATAACCGACTGCTTGTTATCAACAATAATTAGCATATTATCTAGACCAGGGGTTCTCAACCGGTGGCACGCAAGAGAAAAATAGGTGGTACGCAAAAGAAGCAAAGTATTTTTAACTGTTAAATTCAAAAATTAAAACCCTAATATCCTGATTGAGTTTTTTCACTAATAGTCGTAAATTTATGCCATCTGAGCTTTGTTCAAGAGTGGTGGCGGTAGTAGTACTTTGTAGTGGTGATACTAAAGGTTTTCAGTTTTTGTTTAGATGGTATGCGCTAGTCAAAAGGTTGAGAACCGCCGATCCAGACTATTTATAGAAAACTTAGATAAGATTATTAGGTATCTTCTTTTTTCCAAACCACTTGCCATCTGGTGTGACTGGAAGCACGTCTGGCCAGTAACGGGAGGTCCGGAGTTCGAATCCTGGTAACGGCAGTGCTGATTATCTCACATTTCCTGGTTGCAATAAATAACCTTATGACTTTAGAAGGTCTATTCAGACAAACTCGGATAGCGCCAGAAAACTGTTTCTTCTAAAGGAAAGCACTTCTTTAGGGAATGATAAGGAACCGTTGGAATGTCATCAGTATAGGTATCAGTACTTGACATTTCTTTGAAAGAATTTCCTATAGTAGTTTCTAAATTGGCTATGATTTATTTTACCGAAATTCATAATTTGAAGAAAGAACTGAACATACATTAAAGCTAATGTTGCTGGATTTTAGTGATTTAATTACTAGACCAGAGATTTATGTAACAAGTCACTTCGCGCTTGATACATTCAAAAGTGGTAAGAATTCTTTAGTTCGGATAATAAAAATTGACAACTTATGCACAAGAAAATAAAAAATTTGTCACCATAAATTTAAATGTAAAACTAATGCACACTGTTGTTGAAATCAATAAAATGATTTATAGTAATTAAAAAGTGTAGAAATAATAATTTAAAGTTTGTTATTGTGGCTAACTCATTCGGCTGGCCTAACTAGAACAAGCCCACGAATTTTGCAATGCCAAGGAGTACAAGATTACATTTGTCGTTGGCACCATATAGGCGACAGTACGACTTTGTCCAGTTCCACACCAATTTTGAGAGAGTGCACGCCGAGGTGGGACAATCGAGGATTTCCCACTCCTCTTCCCTTACTACCAAACCACACGAGAGGACTATCGGTTTGGCATATATTTAGTGCTTCCCATGCCGCAAGATATATACACATTTACAATATCCATGCTTTCTCTGGGATTCGAACGCGAGCATTTCGGAAGGTAGTCAAAGTCACCAATCACTTTCTCGTTGGGCGGCATAATTCAAAGTAAATCATACTTTTTGATTTAATTTCTATTGCCCCTTGGGAAATTTTATTATATTAGATCCAACTTTTTTAATATACGAATCTAAGCATCGGTAGCTGAAAATGCACGCAAGACTTCATTCGTCAACATTTGGCATCAGCTGCTGGCGCAGTACGCTATTTTTCATCGCCAAATTTCCCCGCGGATCCCATACAACACTCAGAAGTAAAATGAAACTCAGTACCATACTAAACGACGTGAAAAGGCAATAAAAGCAAAGTGGATCGATGAGAAAGTACACATTTAAAAAAAAACTTATGAGTGCTTTTGAGAGCAAATACAAAAATGAAGCGCTCTTTAAGAGGATCAATAATAAAGAAGAAAAACCACTCTTCTGTCGTCCATTTTCGAAACGGAGGTTTTCATTCCTTTATTTATTTGCGTTACTTCTCAACAAAGAAAATATAAAATTGTACCCGAAATGTAAGCAAACGTGAATCAAACAAGCGGCTCTCTCTCTTCTCCCCCCCTTTTTTTTTTTTGAAGTTAGTGGGCAAACAAGGCTCAGTAAAATGAAAGAATTGGACAAGAAATTTTCTTTTAAGTTAAACACGCACTTAAATTCCTTTTCTGTTCGTTTTTTTCTTTAATCTCAAACGACAAAGGAGGAATATCGAACAACAGATGTAACATGACAACGGCGGGTCAAAAGAATAATAAATAAAAATTGCGGAAAGGCGCAGAGTAACAAAAAGAATTGTTTGGCTGACTTCGCCGCTGGAGAAATGCATTCCAACTTAGCGATTTTAAAGTTTAATTTTTTATTTACTTTCTATTTTGCGAAATCAATACCTTTCAGAGGGAAAGTAATAGGAAGACCCCCCGAGTGACAGAAATAGCGAGTGCAAGAATGGACTTAATGAATCGAATAGTTCTTATTTGAGAACATTCATTACCATATACAGGTGACACTTCACACAACATTACTCCCCCTCCCGGGGAAAAAAAAAAAAAAAAAGATCTTTGCACTTAAACCATAAAATTCAGTTCAATAGCAATATCGCAAAATAATTTTAAAATGAGCGTATCTTCAGAATTTCCGATACACAGTTCCGCGCCGTTGGAGATAAAAAGGTTTTTTTTTTTTTTTCTTAGTAGAGTGTTGCCATGGCTCGCTTTGAAATCCTTGAGTTTGTTAATGAAAAATTCGTTAAAGTTTTACAAAATATGAAATCGATCATAAAATAAACTCCAAATTTCAAATTTGGTCTTCCACATGACCATATTCGTAGGAGGATTACGCCATTCAAAATTCGATGACTCTATGTACCGTTGTTTTATCACAATGCGAGAAATATACATACATTTATGAAGATTTTCCATTATTTAATTTCTTCAAATATAATGCAGGACTCTAACATTTGGTGGCAACAGTTTGAAAAGTGAAACGGACATTTATAGTGATTCAAAGCAAAACGAAAACAATAGTTCTTCAGGGACAAAGCCCCTTTGGACTAAAAACTAATAGAACATTTTTTTTTTTAAATATTCCTTTCTCAAAACTACGATAATACAGAACTATCAATATATTTTTCAAACAGAAACACAGAAAATTTATTTGAATGCAAATTGGTTTTTTTAGAGAAGGTTGCGTGTTCCCTACGAAATGCATTTGAACTGTTTATGCCACGGGCTATTCATTGCCAGCAAAAAGTATCCTGTTTTGCTGATTATAATACTTCCTTGTTTACCACCTACCTTACTCACTTGATTCTTCGTATTGCAGATGGACGGGAAGAAAAGCCCAGAGTATAAGATTGGGAACCTCCCATCAGCACTCTGATGTAAGCATAATGAATTTTTCCATCAATCTTTTAGATCTGTTGAATTTCCTTTAAATATGCAAATGATGTGGCTTCTATATTAACTTGTGGTGGAATGAAATTCGTTTCACAGACTCAGATCTTAGGCAGAATTTAATAAACTTTTATTTCCAGTTATACGTTTTATGATGCAAGTCGGCAATTTATTACGGGAAAACCCCACGTACCTGACATACTCATATATAGTCATACACCTAACCATAAACGATGAAAGAGCTGAATATTAGTTGGGGAGTCAAAATATTTGAAATTGTTACTAATTATGTCTCAAAACATATCCCATCTTTTTGTCTTGCCCAAATTAAAATCTTATTTGTCCACGTCTCTTAAATGGATGTCATGAATTTGAACATAAAAATACAGTTTTAAATATATATCAGTTTCTATTTTTTTTTTTTTTTTTTTTTCCATAAAAAGAAATGCAACGTTCAGGAGTTACTAAAATTTTTAAATTATCACAATTTACCGAAAAAGAATATTATGTAAACAAAAATAATGACCAAATTCATTCTTTTTAAGACCTTAGAAAGGCAACATTCCATACGTGGAAGTCTTGCATAGAAATTATTTATACTGAATTAGGTGAATGAAAATAATTTTTAGAAAGAAAAAAAAACACCAATTTTTAAGGCACTTTCGGTTAGATATTTTGTTTCACTAAAATTGGTTAAATGCCAATAACTGTAATCATAAAAATTTCAGTGATTTCTGTATAAAAGAAATACGCCACTTTTTTTTTCTCAATAAGGAAAAAACGTAAGAAATTTATGGCCTCAAGATTAAAAATAAATGTTATTAGGATTTCGTTTTTAAAGTGTGCCCCCATCTTAAAATCTGAAACCTCAAAGAAATATGTAGTTAATTTATACAGATTCTTTCATAATTTTGATTTTTTTAAACTTTAATCTACTTTTAATAGTATCAAAACATAACATTTTTTTTATGTCCATATTTGGAATTTCCGAAATATCTTCTTACATCACTTAAGAAACAGATGTAGATTTTAAATATGTGAAAGAGAAAAAAATTCAACCTTTATTTCTTTTCCCTTGATCCTTTCCTTGCAGTTAAAATTGCGCTTTAATTATAAATTGAAGTTATTAACAGATACCAGACGACGAGAAAGTGAATTAAGAGATTCAATTTAAGTCGCTTTAGTCTATTTAATCAGATTACAATACTTGAAATATGTTATGAATTTTACACTAAGGAAGAAAATCTATGTTAGAAGGTAATCATTTACAAGAATCATCTTTATCTAATTCGCAAATATTTTCTTTTGTGAAGATTGCATTGACGAGGTCTCTCTCAGTTGATTACATGATTACAAAAATACGAAATTTTAACAGAGAACATTAAAATATTACTAAAATGCAACATATGTATAAAAACTTGTTATGAATTATGAAATAAAATAAATTTTAGAAGCCATTACAATTAGCTATCAAACACGAATGAAAACATAATTCTAAAATTCCAAACTAGTCCTTTGTGTTCTTAATCTTTCCTTCCATCAATATCAGTCAATTCTATCAGTATAAGTGAATTGCCAATATTGACAACATAATTACAGCTTTAGAAAATAAGCCGATTGTTGTGCAAGACATGTACTTTTACCAGGCAACCCCCTTCTCACACACTGCCCTCTTTTAAAACAAGAGTTTAAAATAATCCTTCCATCTGCATCAGACACGAAAAACCGAATACAAAGAAGTAGGCTTATCCGATTACTTGAAGAGTAGGTACGCAATAACTATTGCCAAAGTGGGATTTGATGAAACGATTACCGTCGACGGTGTTGTCCCCGCCATTTCGTTTGCATTGTACCACTTTTCAGTTGTTTAACGAAGGGGGATAGATGTCAGGGGGAGTCATACAGAAATCTCGTGGAAGCGAAACATTGTTCTTATCACGCAAATCGTCTCGTTGAATATTTATTGCCAATTTCCCCATTCGCGAAGAAGGTTTATCCCTTCAAACATCGTCCATTGATAGACGCAGTTAAAGTCTGCTATGTATCGTGCCGAGTACAGTGGGATTAGACGGATCGTCGAATCAAATAAATGAAAAATCAGTGGACAAGTCTAGCCAACAATGCGAAAAATCAAATAACTCGCATATTTGATGAGAAAAAGGCATCTATTATATTTTGTTTCTATCCATTTCATTTGCCATGCTGGACAGCTATAACAGTAAATTGTGTTCGGCGTACAACGAAAGCATTTTAAAAGTAACTCATTTTTGTTAATACACGCGTAACAATAAAAGTGGCTAATTAACTCATTTTTTGTTAATTTTATTGATGTTGATTTAAATCGACATAACAAATTGCAGAACCCAATACAGCAGTGAATTCAGATATGGTTTTCCTCCTTGATATTCAGGCTTAATGTGCAGTTAAGATAAAGTGAACTTTTAGCGATGGCCAAAATACTGAATACAAGCGTGGAGCTACTGAAATTTATTAAGAAATATATTTGTTTCTTTAATATAAATTAAGATTATGAAAGTAAGTATAATTTGAATCTGGATCTAATTTTTTTTTAAAGTTACGTAACAATTTTCGAAATACTATTGAAATGAATTATAATTACAAACTATAGGAATAACCAATTAACAAGTAAAGTTTTCCTATTAGTGAATTCTATTGAGTCAACAGTTTTGCCATCATTATTTTAACGTATTGTGAGTGTGTTAATAAACCGAATCGTTTATTTGGGAACAGCAAGAATGACTTGCTCTCCATCATTTTTTTAGATTAAAAAATTTTGGGGAGCAAGGAGCTTGGAATTTCTTTATTATGTTTCTAATTTTTTTAATTTGTGTGCAACGTATTTTGGTGCTAAGTAAAATTATTACAGAAATTTATTTTAAAATGCTTCTGCTAATTTTAATATATTTCTTCAAATAAAGAAGCATTTGTGGGGGGAGAGCACAGATTTTCCCCCCATTTAAGCTGTTTAATTTTTCTTACAGTGATTTTTACCAGCCTTTTTATTAGTGCAATTTCGAAAAGCTTTAATATATTTTAAATCACTCAACCGATCGCTGATTATTAGTAAAAACTGCATATATGGACTGATTGATAGCTTAAAAAAAGAAAGAGGGAGAGGGGAATTCACAGAAGCATCATCTGGATCATTATTTCATTTTTCTTAATTGTAAAAGTAAGTAAGAGTGTCAGCCGTACACGGGGCTGAGGCCAGAGCCGGTGCAACTAGGGAGGATGCTCCGAACGACAAAATATTTAGAATTTAGAGGTTACAAAAAATTTTAAAACTCGGTGTAGGCCCTAGGTAGCAGAATTTAGGGGCTGAGAAATTTTTATAATTTAGGGTGAACTCAGAACTCGCACAGACTGCACTGAGCTTAATGCGAACGTCGGCACTGGTCATAGAGCATGTTGAAAAGAGATCACCAAAGAAACATTTTTATCGTATAATTTCTCCCCTCCCCTTCGGAGAAGGAAATATAACACGACAGGTGTCCAAAATCAGCAATACCGATTCGGGAAACGGCCATCATGCAAACGACACCTTTCTGAACTGTATTTCTGCACTGTTCGGATGGTTGATAGAAAAATCCCGGACGAGGTAATCCAGAATAATGGAAAGATCTTTTTTAAAAAACACAAATACTATAATACCCGTAATACCGAAAAAGAAATTTAAAACTCCCCTAAAGTAGTATCTCATGCAATTTCCCAAGGGTGGCTGTTGCATTCCCCCTGTTCGTTCCTGTTCTCCATCCATCCCCAAGAGTTCGCCAGCTGTTGCAAAAGAGACAGACGGACATATCTCGAGTGAAAAAGCTGAGGTCAGGTGGAAGCAGGGACCCCCACGAGATGAATGGGGCCCATTAGTGAGAAAGATGGCTCTTTTCACTTGGAGCTGGCAACAGCTGCTCGGAAAAACCAAAACCCCCGAGACTCTGGAAGTCTCTCCGTCTTAATCCCTCCCCAGCTTTGAACGAAAGCATCCACTCTTCTTTTTTCGCTTTCTTAATGGCTCCTTTTCCATTTTGCTTTGAAGAAGCTCTTCGGAGAAGCAGTAGCCGTTTCGCAAGTAGATGGAGACATTCAATCCGTTGCTCTCACATGCGGCGGGGATTAAAATGATCCCACGGACGCATTAACCAGTCGTGCATGGTACTGTTTTCGCACCAACAACCACGCTGAAAATCGAGCTCTAGGCAAGCACTATTTGATTTCAGAATGCCGATTTATTGAACATTCTCTAGGATATATTCTCCGCAGTTTTCTGAAATTTTTATTTAAAAAAAAAAAAAAAAAAAACTGCAATTTTTCGGCTATATTTTAACAAATTAACGCTTTTTCATTGTTAAACTTGATATACTAGCATATTTTTCTGGAAAGAAATGCATCTTATGTTAATTTCAATATGCAATTCTAAAATTTATAATTACACAATAGTTTAAAATTCTAGATTCGTTTTTTAATTGTTGCCCTTTTTTTTTAATCTACAGTATTCAGTCTGTATACAATATGCAACTGTGTTTTTTAAGACATGACTTTAATTTTTTTTATTTATTTCCTCTTCCCAACATAGTACATAGTAGTATTTTTTGCTGGACTCAATTGCATCTAAAATAACTCAGAGCTTATTCATATTTAGTTCACTCAAGCCGTCATTAACGTTACGTTACGTTATTTAATTACGGCAAAGCCTCGAGGGCTATCTGCCTACAAGCCGTCATTAAGTTTAGATCCTTAAACATTTTAGTTGACATCGGTGTCGAAGCCTGGCAGAACGGTGATCCTTTACTATAGGATTTATCAATTCAGTTTAAACGAGAAAGTAATAAAAACTATCATAATTCAATGACCTCAGAATCATCTGGCATAGAACAAATATATAATGTTTGAAAAAAAAATCCTTTAATATTTCTCGTACGACTAAAATATGCAAATTTTTAATTGAACCTGTAGTATAATTTAACCT